CACCCCAGAGGTCCCCATGGAGAGCCCCCAGTACGAGAATGGGGGGCCCTCAAAGGAATGTCTCAGAAGGAGCCAGGACAGGCACCCCTGCCTGAGGACCGTCTCCCAGGGCTGAGATCAGGGCAACCCTTCCTCCTGCTCTTTAAAAGCTCACACATTATACTTTTTCGATGTCCTGTACCTTAGTTTTTCCAGATTTTCCTATAGTGCCTAATGCATTATTTTAGAACTAAAGCTCTTTGTGTGCCTGTCTGGGAAGTGAGTAGTTGGAAGAAGGCGTACATCCCCTGACAGGAGCTCGGTGGGGATAAATCACAGCAGAGTGGTGGGCGGAGGAGGCAGAGGGGCACTGTTAACCGGCGACCATGTTCCAGACCTTCTGTGCAGTTCTGGACTCAGGAGCCCCATCCAGTCCTCACAGCAGCCCCCTGGGCTGGCTGTTAGGATTCCTGTTTTACAGGTGAGAAAATGAATGGGGCCTCGCAGAGCTGCAGGGTACAGACTGAGGGCAGGCATCCCCCTGTATCACCAAAGTACTGGCTAGGTCGCGGGGTTGGAGTGCAGGGGGGTTTGGAGTGCCGCGTTCTGAGGTTCGCCTTCTCCCAGACTCCCGCGGGTCCGGGGATGATGGATGCGCACTGACTGGGGAGTGGCCGGGGAGAGTTGGGGGTCCTCCCGTAAGCAGGCTCTGCCCTGGAAGGGCCTGCCATGCTCTCACTGCACACCTTGGCCTGGCTGGAGCGGGAGAGTTAAGCAGAGAGCTCTATTATCTCAGGATCAACTCCCTGTGTGCAAGGCCTTATCAATAGAACGCCTGTGTTTCAGGAAAAGGAGCCACTGGACTTACACAGTCCCTCTGCAGAGCGTGTGGCACCTGGCTTCCCGTGCACAGGCATCTGGCACTGGGGTGGGGCAGAGACTGAGTCAGCAGCCCTGGGGATTAGGGGGAGGTTTGTAGTGTCTGCATTTTGGAAAAACAATCTCCCAGCACAAAGTTTCACCTGCTAGATTTGTGTCTTCTGGGTTGAAGTGGAAGAAGTAAAGCTCACCTGAGCACAAGGTTGACACGGCCTGAGCTTGAGTGATGAAAGCCAGGAGCAGGGTCACTGCGGATAGGCATTGGCTTGGACGCAGCCCCGCACAGCTTGGCCCCCTGCCCTGCATCCACTGCTAATCTCTGGAGATGGTGTCTATGGCAACCACCATCTGTTGGGACCAAGGGTTCTGAGTTCCCCTTGGGTCCCAGGGTCTGTGTTGTGGTGATCCGTCCTTCCTCTAAAAAGGTACACTTACATCCTAGTCCCTGCACCTCCGGATGTGAGCCTATTTGGAACTGGGGTAGTTGCACATCCTTGGGTACGTCGAGGTCACACTGGAGTAGGGTGGCTCACACATTGGATTACACTGTGACTAGAGTTCTTATAGGACAGCCCTCGAGGACAGAGAAACACTGGAAGAAGCCGACTGAAGATGGGGGCAGAGTTTGGAGGTCTGCAGCTGCATGCCCAGGCGGCTGGCCAGGCCTCAGAAGCTAGGAGGAGGCCAGGCTGGGTCCCCTGACATGTTTCAGAGGGAGTTTGGTCCTGGCACCCACCTGAGGTTAAAATCAGCCTCCACACTGGGAGTCAGTGCACAGCTGTCTCAAGGTACCCCCTCATGGTCCTTTGCCCTGGCTGCCCTAGGAACGGAGTGCGGCCAGGTGCTGGGGCCCTCCTCCTGCCGCTTGGGCCCTTTCTTGTGGTTTGTCTCCATCATTTCTCCCTGGAGTTGGCCCCTTCTGTTCCCACAGGTCCCTCTTCTAAAACTTTGAACCACATTTATTTTCCCCAAAACATTGCCTGGGAATGGGGGACAGGAGCTGTAGTTGGAAGGAAAGGAGAGAGGGAAAGGGATAATTCTGTTTTCTAGATGACATCAGAAAAGCCAGTTCTCTCCAAGAACCTACATTCAGGTGCTAGGAATGTTGTGCCTGAGCTTTTCCTGTTGCTGGTGAGACCCTGGTCCTGTCTGTTCAGGCACAGTGGAACCCCCGCCTCCTCTGGACCCCTGCAGTGGGCATGTGAGTGCCCTGCATCTGTCCCTTTCTGTTCCCCACAGCCTCCAGCTGCTGTGGCTGGCAGGTGTCTGTCTGAACAAGCTTCCTGGCCTGTGCCACCGTGGGTGCTTCGTGGGACTCTTGCTCCCCAGGTGTCACTTGCTGTGTGTGTCCCGTCTGCTCAGCCATCTGGTCCCAGGGGTTCCCTGCACTCCTCACCCTGGGGTGGCACAGAGTACGTGGAAACCCAGGAGGCTGCCGCCAGGGATGGCCACTTCCTGGGGCCTGTGTGGCCCGGGGTCCTTTCTCCCCTTGTTCAGACCAAGCTCTGGTGTGAAGCTGTGAAGGACAGTGGCATAGGAGGGGCCACCGATGAGCTGCCTGGAGGGAGCTCAGGCCCTGTCTGGGGGTCAGGGCCCTATCTTTGGAGTGTCGTGAGTCTCCCCACTCTGGGCCCTCATCAGCCCTGCAGGCTGCTGCCTCTGTGTTTGGAGAAGGGCACTGGGGCTCTGACTTCATCGCTGCTGGTGTAAAGGCCTCGGGCTTGGCACTTCCAGGGACTGGGGAGTCCAAAGCCATGCTCCAGTGGCTTGGCTGCAGCCCGAGATTACACAGTCCGCTGGAGTGGAATCATTTGCCGAAATCCCGCATCCCGCCCCTTGGAGCCTTCTGGTCCCATCTCTATCCAGCTCAGCATCGGGGCTGTAAGCAGAGCCTTCCGAGGTGTTGGTGCCGTTTCCAGGGTGTGTGTGTGTGTCAGAGAGAGATGGTGAGGCGAGGAGGTTGAGAGCGACCCAGGTACACGATGCCAGAGTCCTCAGTCTGCCATTCTGGGCACTGCGGGCCAGGGGGAGCACTTCGCTCCCGGATGCTCCCCCACCTGGGAGCAAGGGCAGCGCTGCTCTCGGGCTGGCAGGGCTTCCCCACCTCTCCTCTTCCTTGTTCCCACTCCTTGGCATCTCTGCAGCATTTTTCATCGCTCAGAGTGTGACCAGGAGCCATGCACGTGTGTCCCAGGGCCAGAGTCTAACAATGCTGTCTTTTGTGGGCTCTGGCCTCTGTGCCACCTTGTCAACAACCCTGGCATTGTTGGGCACTGTGGGCCAGGGTGGCTTGGCCCCCCCACCCCTCTGTGCCCTTCACCCCACTAAGGGCGAGGCTGTTCCGTGCCGAGCACACCTCCCTCTGCAGGTAGGCATGGGGCCACCTCGGAGACCACTCATTCCATCCCAGGGGACAGAAGGGGCTGCGACACAGGGGTGCCAGGAAGGCCTCGACTCTGGAGGGGTCTGAGGAGGGGACGCTGGCACCATGTCTGTCACCCTTGGGCATGGGGGAGATGAGCAGTAGAGTTCTAAATTCCAACCCAGAAAGGGCCGTGGGGTCAAGAGGCTGCTTTGGAATCTGTGTCCCCACTTTGTCAGGCACTGCCTTTCGGATGGTAGAGGCAAAACCCATACAAAGAACATGGCCCTTGCTGGGCATGGAGGCACATCCTTGTAATCCCAGCACTTGGGAGGCTGAGACAGGAGGAATGCTGTGAATTTGAGGCCGGCCTGGGCTACATAGTGAGTTCAAGGCCAACATGAACTACATAGTGAGATTCTGTCTCAAAAAAAAAACAAAACCAAATTAAATTTGATTAACTAATACAGAGACCAGATGTGTTGTTTGCATCTTGTTAGAAGAAAAGAGAGGAGGCATGTGTGAGCCCTTATCAACCAGAATCGGTCTCCTGGTCACCTGGTCATCCAGACAAGTCCAGGCTGCCATGGCCCTGTCCCGGCCCACCTCCCTCCTTCACAGCCAGGAGGGGACACTCGTGGAGACTAGCGCCTGCAAGGCTGGGCCCTCAGACGGAGCTGGGGCACCCCCGGGACAGGAGGCTGCACTGCCAGAGCAGCCACTGCAGGACCTGCGCTTGTGAGCTGAGCTTTTGTTTTGTTTTTGCACCAGGAATTGAGCCCAAGGTCTTTGCACCTGTGCCTTTTATGAAAGTCTGTATTTTGGGCCAAGGTCTTGCTAACTCAGTAAGTTGCCAGGCTAAGTTTGAACGTTCAGGCCTCCTGCTTTAGCCTCCCGCCTTAGTCTCCCGGAATGCCGGGATTCCAGGAATGCGCCACTGTGACCCGCTGAGATCTTAGCCTTTCACCAGCTGGAAGACTTGTGCTGATTCTTTCTGCTGCCACCCTTTCCTTTTGGCCCCATTTCCCCTCTCTCCTTCCTTGAGGGCCTTTGACCTCACCTCCCTCCTGCCAAGGAGGCCCCAGAGGGAGCCCTAAGAGAGCTGGGAAATACCAGCCTTGTGTCAGTGGGCACCCGACACTCTCTCTGGGCCTCAGTTTCCCCCCTCAGGGAGTGCCCAAGGCTCTTCAGAGCTGGAAATTAAGTCCCTGCTTCCATGGAAGTGAACCATGGGTTGTTGCAGTTGGGTTAGAGTAGCCACGGGGACATTCTGGACCAGGCAGGTCAGGGAGAGAGCAGCCCTTCCTGCTGGCGATGGCGCCTGTCTCTGAAGAGCACTTCCTGCCTACAGTCCCGGTCTCCTGGCACCTGGCAGCATCTTCGTGTCTCTGGGACACAGCCTTACCTGTAGCTTACAGATCGGCAGATGCGGCCCAGGAAAATCCAGCCCTTCCCCAGTGACCTGTGGCCCTGGTGAATCATGGGAATTAGCAGAAAGGGCGCCTTTGAGGAGCAGAAGGCCTGACTGACAGTCACCAAGGCCACTGGGCCCCGTAATGCTGACTGTGGGCTCCCATGAAATGGTGCAGGTGGGGGCAGTTTCCGTGGGTATAAAGCTCTTCACTGTCACCGTGCGGGGTGACAGAAAACAGGGCATTGGCCTCCCTGCGCTGCTCTCCCCAGGGGGAGCAGAGCTCCATGTCCTAGGCTATGGCCTGGGAAGGAGGTGGCAGAAATCCTGCTGAGTCCCTGACGCCCTTGTGGTTCTTTCCCCCCCCAGACTGCAAGTTCACCTGCCACCCTGAGTGCCATGCCCTGATCCAGCTGGACTGCAGTCAGCAGGAGCGGCCGGTGTGGGACAGAGCCTCCCGGGAGACCATCCTCGGCCCGGCCTCCAGCCAGGTAGGCAGCGGGCACACGCTCGGCTGGGCAGCCCCTGCAGGGCCCGGGCTCTACTTGTTCTCTCAGGAGCTCCGGCAAGCAGCAGCAGCATGAGGCTCCAGCATGCCTGTGTGCTGGATGGGGGGTCCCCTTCCAGCCAGATGCAGCCGGACACACCCTTTCCAAGGGGTCTGGGGGCAGCCATGGAGGGGTCTTATACCCAGTGGTGCCCTGTGGTTGCCCAAGCATGGCGTCTGATCCTGAAGTGGGTGTGGGTGGAGGTGGGGTGGGTCCTAGAGAAGCTCCCAGAAGGCCCTGAGAGCCCTGGGTCTGTGGGGATGATGCAGTAGACCTTCAGGGGTCCTGCTGCCCTCAGCCAGCCAGGGCCCGATCACCCATTAGAGGGCCTGGGCCAGGGTTTCTTCTTTGTGTTGAAGAACCAGAGAGTTAGGTGGTGGGGCAGCAGGAGGCTGAGGCAGGAGGACTGCAAATTCCAGGCTAGCCACGGCAACTTAGCAAGACCCTGTCTCAAAATAAAAGTTCTTTTAAAAGGGCTGGGGATGTAGCTTAGTGGTTGATGGCCCAGCACGCAGGAGGTCCTGGGTTCAATCTCTAGTACTGGAGGCTGGGGGGGCGGGCGGCAGGAAGTTGATGCCCCAAATAGCTCTTGGTCCCAGGTTTTGCCGAGGTGTTTGAAATGCAGTGTCTGGACTTAGATGTCTAGGGCTTGGAATGGAGACAGGAGGGCATTTATTGATTCCTGTATTGATAATCTACTATGTGCCAAGGGCTGATGGGAGTGGGGTAATTAACAGTACATGACAATGGTTCCCCGAGAGCTTACACTGGGGCAGGGATGCCAAACACAGCCAAACAGTAGATCCTGTGACGCATACTCAGTAAAAGTATGAGCCAGGTGTTGAGGGTACACATGCAGTTGTTTCTGCAGGGAGAAATCAGGAAGGCTTCCCAGAGGAGGTGACATCTGATGGGAGCCTTCATCTGTAGTTGAAGATTGGGTAAGGTCTCTCTGTTCTTTCCGTTAGAATAGCTGGTATCAAAAGGGGGTGACTTAGCCAGGCAAGGTGGTGCACGCCTGTAATCCTGATGCTCTGGGAGGCCGAGGCAGGAGGATGGTAAGTTACAGTCCAACCTGGGTAACTTAGTGAGACCTTGTCTCAAAATAAAGACCAAAAAGAGGGGCCGGGCACTTAGCTCAGTGGCACTGTGCCTGCCTCGTAAGCACAAGGTCCTGAGTTCGATCCCCAGTACCGGAAAGACTAAAAAAGAGCTGGGGATGTCAGTGTGAAGGCCCTGGGTTCAATCCCCAGTACTGAAAAAGGGCAGCTGCCCTCTCCACCCTGAAATATTTGGCAATGTCTAAAGACATTCTTGGTTGCCACAGCTTGAGAGATCCAGTGGCCTCCAGTGCGTAGAGGCCAGGGAAACCGAAACACGCACGACGGTCACCCACGACAAGGAGCTGTGTGGCCCCAAATGTCAGTAGTGTGGAGTGGACAAGCCTCCCGTGGAGCAGCTCAGCCAGTCCCAGTTCGGGGGCAGATGGCCCGGGAGGGGCCCTAAGTGGAGGATTTGGGGAAACTAAACGGGCTGTGCTGAAGTGGGGATGCCTCTGAGACGCCTCGGAGGAGGAGCAGGAGCAGGCGCAGGAGCGGGGCTCCGAGTGGCGTTGGACGCCCCCGGCCCACTGCACGCAGGGTGTGCCCAGCGTCCGGGCAGGCTGCTGTGTTTGCCTTGGACAGGCCCCACGGAGTGCACAGCCTCAGCGGAGTGGGCAGGACCCGCCTCTCTGTCAACAAAGCTGGGCCCTGCTCCAGAGTCCTTTGCTTTGCTGAAAAGCTCATTGATGCTGATTTCCGCTTGGCATGATTTCTGTTGAATGTCAAGACGGGGCTTGCTTTCCCCTGCGATCCTCACCAGACGGGGCCAGCCTTGGTTCTGGTGCTGTCCTCCTGGGGAGGTACTGAGGCTGAGGCCTGGGGTCTGAGCCCAGCTCCTTCGGGTGTGCACGTGCGTGGATGTGGCTGTTAGAGGAAGACTCATCTTAGTGGTGTTTCTCTTCTCTGCTTTTTAAGGGAAAGGAAATCATTGATTTTCCTCCATCCAGATAGAACCAGCCTCCATGGCATCTGTGTATCTCCTTCCGGTACATTCATACATTTTTCAAAATGAGGTTGAGATCATCCTGTAGATAAGTATCTGGCCTCAACCTTTTAAAAGTGATACCCACAGTTAATGTCTTTCTCCGCGGGCTGGAGGGGAGAGGGAAGGGGAAAGAGGGACCAGCCTAGGAGGGGGAGGGAGGGCTCAGAGCCCCAGCTGGAATCTCACAGGCCACGTGGGTCAGCCTGTCCCTGCAGGCATCAGGAAGACAGGGGCCTGGTAGCTGCCTGTGCTTCTGCCAACCACAAAACCAGAGGTCTCCCGGCTTTCCCTGGAGATCCTGAGATCTGTGATACCCACTGTGTGACCAAACAGATCTGTGAGTCGGGCCAGAGCTCATCTGTTTCAGCCTGTTTACTAAAGAGCATCATTACTATTGGTTAAAAACCACACGAATTGCCAAAACAGCTACAGTTCCTTAATTTGGGGGCATGCCCTGAAAGGATTTATGTTTCTGGTGGTTTTAACAGTACTCTTAGCTGAGCATGGTGGTGCACACCTGTAATCCCAGCACTCTAGGAGGCAGCTGCAGGAGGATTACAAGTTCAAGTCCAGCCTGGGCAACTTAGTGACTTGGCAAAATAAAAACAGGCTGGGGATGCAGCTCAGTGTGAAGGCTCGGGATTCAATCCCGAGTACTCAAACAAACAGTGCTCATATCATCTGGGCATGGTGGCAAGCTTCTATATCCCAACTACTTTGGAGGATGAGGCGGGAAGATCAGAAGTTTGAGGCCAGTTGGGCCACTTATCGAGACCTTGTCTCAAAATAAAAAGGGTGGGGCTGTAGCTCCGTGGTCGAGCACTCACCTGGCAAGCACAAGGCCCTGGGTTCAGTCCTTAGCACTGCGGGGAGAGTGCTCTTATCATATCACCCACCCCTGTGATGAAAACCGATAGTGGCTACCCAGTGCCTTCACAGTTACCTCTGATGCTATGATCCAGTCCTTTCATTGCCTCTGGGGAAGCCAGCCTCAAGACCGAATGTGTCTGACCTGCCTATCACTGCTAATTCCTGTTCTAACCCTCTGCCCCGGGGGGACCCTGGCAGCTCTGGCCTTTGGTGCCACTTTTCTGGGGCATGAAATATACAGATTCCAAGGGACAGACTCCCTTCTACTCAACCCTTTGCAGCCAGAGCTGAAATGTCCCTGCAGCTGGACAGGTGCCTTCCGCCTTCAGCCCTGCAGGCCTCGGAGCAGCCACCTGGCCCGAAGCAGTTCCCATGCTGTACTCAGGCACTCCACGCTGGGACTGTGGCCTTAACCATGTTCCACCCATGCTGCTATTTACTTCAGTTCTCTCTAAATAGACTCACTTCATTAAACTTAAATCGATTTTTGTTAAAGGAAAAATTTAAATATCCTTAAATCACTGTTTTGATGTCCTTCAAATTATTTCCCAGATGTGTGTTAGTTAATACTTAATCTCTAAAATTAAAAAAAAATGTATCTAAAGACTATTTCACATTCATTCCACAAATAACTTGTTGAGCCAGGTCCTGTTCTGAAATCCTTCCAGATGTGTTGAGCGGGAAATGCTGGGGTCCTGGAGAGGCTGCTGTCTCTGGCCATCTGGCGCCTGGGCTCCAGGGAACGCCCCAGGGCCCATGGGAGCCATGGAGAGAGCTCTAGGGATACTGGGAAGGAAATCCCAGCCCTGGGCACTGGCACCACAGGGAGTAGTGCAAAGTGAAAGCAAGACACACTACGGCACAGACAGGACCGGCCACTTCTACTGTGTACGTAGGAGTGTGTACGGGTGGTGTGCAGGCATGGCGTGAGAACCTGGGACGTGCTCAGTAGACCTGTCGAAAGGGATTTCACCAGGTGAGAGGTGGAGCTGAAAGGGATATTATGAGACTGTCAACTTTTGCTGTTGCTTTTTTCCTGTTTGACCATGACATGATGCTACATTTTTCTGAGGTAATATTTTTTAAAGCCAGTACTTAACGTCTTCAGGAAAAGAAAGAAGCCTGCCTGGGTGACTGAAGAGCGAGGCTCTAATCCCGATTGTGCAGATGAAATACTTGGTTTAGGACCCACGACCGGCCTCCTAGTTCCTCTGGGCCTTGGGTGTCTCCCCTGAGAAATGGGACCGTCCCCAGGGTGGTTAGGGGACCCCAGGAGGAGCTGTGTAGTCATGGGGTAAGTGTCCTGGGGTGACAGTGGAGCGGCCCCACTGGGGTTTGGTCCCCGTGGTGAAAACCCTCAGTGGCTCCCTGCTCCCCTCAGAACGAGTCTGAATCTGGATTAGTGCATGAAATCCTTTCTGGTCTGGTCCTACCAGGTCTCTGAGTACCGGAAAGTTGAGCTGTCATCTGGATAGGAAGCCAGGCCCCTGCGACTTGTGGCTTGGGTGGTCTTTTTGCTCCACTGCTTACAGTTATCTCCTCTAACATGGAGGCCTAAGTCTGCTCCAGTCTGCAGACGGCCTGTCCCACTCCCCCCGAGGGACAGGAGCTCTCAGCTCCAGGGTGGGTCAACCTGGCCCTCTCACTCACAAAGACACGCCTGGCCACTGTCACTCCTCAGCAGAGGCCCTGCTGGAATCCCGCCTCCCCTCAGCAGCAGAGGTGGCTCAGCTGGCTGGGTGTTCAGAGTTGCTTGGCTCCCAGCCCGGAGCTGCCTCCTGCATTCACCACTGTGTCCATTACCCAGGGCTCTGCCCTTCCAGACCCCTCAGAAGAGGAAATCCTGCCCCAGTTCTCTGCCGACTGCTAGTGTTGAACCCAGGGTCACCCCACGGGGGAGCTGGGTAGCAAGAAGGGAAGAAGCCTGAAGGGGAGAGGCCAGGGGCTCCGTGACAGTCTCCTAGTGGACACTGCGTACCTCTTGG